GAATGAAGTAAAAGGGTATGTTAGGACAGTCACTTTCTAGGTCTTCCTCCTTCTTGGCGCTGCCTACCTGTCTTGCTTCACCTGCAAACAGGTCCATCTTCCCACCAGCACATGCTCTTTGCCCTTCTCCAGGTGCTTTCCTGTGTGCTTTGGTACAGGGGTCGTCCTGTTTGCAATGTTCTTTCTTGCCTTCTTAGTTGTCCTCATTCCTTTCTTCCCTTCACAACTGTCTGAACACTTTCTTTTAGAAGTTGGATGCTCCCCATGTGCCCTGAAGACAAACTGTGTTTTTCTCAGTCATAGTGTCTAACACACTGTGTGGAGACTGCACCTCTCCATGTCTGCCTGCCTTATTGAATTACATAGCCCGAGGTGGGCAGGCACTCTACCTGGCTATCCTCGAACCCAGTCCACCCTCACTCAGACCTTGGATATTTAGCGTGGCGACTAAGGCCTTGGACTTTGGGGCAAATCCAGCCTGACAAACTGTGCGACCAAGGACACCAAACTTATGCTCTCTGGTCCTCAGCTTCCTCACTTGCAAAATGACAACCACGAGCCCACACTTTGCAAGGCAGTTTAAGGGTTAAGTGAGCCAATTCATGGAAAGTGCTTGGCTGACTGTATGAAATGCAGGAAGCATTCAATAAATGCTGGCTGTCATCACTATCTCGGTAAATAATCCTCTCCCCACAGAAGCAGTAGAAGCTGATGACATGTGTGAAAAGGATGGATATAATTTCCTGGACCACAGAAAAAGATTTATTATTTTTTAATGAACTGAGATGGGTTTTGGTGGTTTATATATTAACTTATAATACTTCTTAATGCCAATCTCAAAACATTCAAATCACCATTGCACTCCACCTTGGTAGGAGATGAGGGTCTGAATTCCAGATGAACTATGCAGGACAGAGTTAATGGTAGCCACTTTGTCCTGACTTGAAATTGCAGCATAATTGTTGAGTATTAGAAAGATAATGAGAAGGCTCTCTTGGTTCTATCCGTGCTGGGACTTAGGATTTGCTTGTTGGGCATTTAAATGCTTTGCTGCAACCTCTAACAATCCCTGCAATCACTTAATACTCATTGGTCACAGATGCCAGTTTAGACGGTGTAGGAATCCAGATGCATCAGGCACAAGTCAGAAGTCCCAGCTCTGAATTACCCATAGCTGCTGCAACTAAGAGGCTTATGGGATTCTTCCTCCAGCAAAGAGGATGATCAGCTTACTTCTAAATTGTGTTGCCTGAAATCCAAGACACCATAGGATAGTCAAATGCAAGGCAAAAATTCAATCCTGAAACTTCAAACCCATCTCTGCCCTTCTAGATTTCCATCTCTGTCCATCTCTGTCCATGTGGATTTCTAGTGTATAATGCAGGCCTTGTTCTGAGAGGATGCTGTAGTTCTGGGAAAAGAAAAAAAAAAGCCCTCCTTGGAGCTGACATCAGATTTCTTTATAAAGCAAGGCCCCTGACTTGTGAAGTGCAGACAAATAATATGCAAGATGAGTTAGGGAAACTGCAGATAGGTAGACAGCAGATGGGAAAATAGAATCGAGATTGTTCTATCCTGGCAGATGACAGCAAATGTCATGGGCTCCTGCCTCAGGTCTCAGGATGCAGGAACTCATCTTCAGCTTCACACAGTTCCTGGACACTGTGCACTTTCACGTGTTATAACCTCTACCTGGGGGAATCCTTGGACCCTCCTTTCATCTAAAGGACCTTTACTTTTGCCTAAACCTTGGCCTAAACTTCTACCTCAAGGCTCACTTCTCAGCACCTATAGTGACTAAGATATATAGGCCCCCTTCCCTATGACCCTAGAGCATTCTAGGCTTTTGTCATCCATAGTACTTGGCCATCAGAGTCATCTTTGATTCACAAGGCACTCTCCCACTATCTCAATGGTTCTCAGCCAGGGATTATTTTTATCCACTGGGCCATTTGGGATTGTCTAGAGACACTTGTTGGTTGACACAACCTGGGGAGTGCTACTGGTCAGAGATGCTGCTAAGCATCCTGCAATACTCAGGGCAGCCCCCACAATGAGGAGTGATCTGTCTCAGTTATCACTAGCATGGAGGTTCGGAAACTAGAAGGCAAGCTTTTGAGCCAGAAATTTCCTTGTCCAACTTGTCTATTCAGCATGTAGCACAATGTCTGGCATATGGTAAGCAGTGAAAGTATTATGATGATGTTGGATGAAGAAAGGAAACATTTGATATTCTGATTAATAAGGAATTC